CAGACTCACAAAACACATGCAACGATGCCAAATGCAGGAAGATCACAGGCCAGTGGGTTGGAAGTCTTCTGGATCCTGTTGAAAGCGTCTCAGCGCTGGCAGGGGTCCCTAAGTGGCTTCTCTAGCTCCAGAGGTCTGGCTGCATCAGGGTAGGTCCATGTGGCTTCTCCAGCTCCCAGGACGTAGTGTCATGTGTCTGGTCAGTAGAGCATCTCTCAGGGAGGGAGTCTTGTCAGTAGAGAGTCTCCAAGGAAGTGAGCAGAGAGAAAATGTCTCCCACCTCCAAGGAGGAAAACTACAGAGGTTCCCAGTATTCTCAGGAAAGGGCCATGCCCACACAGAGTCCTCACTGGTTAGATCTTGATTGACAGGCCAGACTCCACCCCTTCACTCATAATTCTCTCAAGTCCCAAACTGACACCAGGCTATGTAAGTACCACAAAGTTAGATAATGAATCTCTTTTTCCCCCCTACCTCCACCACCCCCCCTTCTCTTATTGAAGACAGTTCTCAACTGTGCATTTCCATATCTGACACATAGGATTAATTTGAATCAGAACAAGTAAAAGATAAAAAATAAAAGAAGTAGCTTTAAAATGTTTAATGAAAAAGTGGGATGTCAGAAACAGGGATAAATGGGAAAGATAGGTGTTGCTTAATTATGAGGTTTGTGACACCATGTTCCTTTCTAAACCTTGCACAAATTTATTTTAATAAAAAACTTTAAGTTGAATCCAAAAAAAAAAAGAAACATACAACTTTCCTCTAGTTCCTAAAGGCTTCCTCCCCACCTCCCCACTACCATGATACCTATTTTGCCTTACAAATCCGGCTAGACCAGAGGATGTACACTGGTACAGATAAGAACCGGAAACACAGACAATCCAGGACAGATGATCCCTTCAGGACCAGTGTGGAGAGTAGCTATATCGGGAGGGTGGAGTGAGGGTAGGGTGGGGAACCGATTACAAGTACCTACATATAACCTCCTCCCTGGGGGATGGACAACAGAAAAGTGGGTGAAGGGAGATGTGGGGCAGTGTAAGATATGACAAAATAATAACCATTTATAAATTATCAAGAGCTCATAAGGCAGGGGGGATTGGGGAGGGAGGGGGGAAAATGAGCTGATACCAAGGGCTCAAGCAGAGAGCAAATGTTTTGAGAATTATGATGGTAATGAATGTGCTTGACACAGTGGATGTATGTATGAATTGTGTTGAGTTGTAAGAGCCCCCAATAAAATGAGTTAAACCCAAAAAAAACCAGTACTGTTCCCCTGCAATTAGTCCTTATTACCACATGGTGTCACTGTTGAAATTCTGTCCTGCGTAGCCTTTTGGACATTTCTTCCTCTGATGTTCTTCCAATACTTTTTTTCCAAGGCAATTTTCTTCAAAGGCACTCCTTGGGTGGCCCAAACAGCTAAGCATTTGACTGGTAACCAAACTATTAGTGGCTCACATCTATCCAGTGGCACATCGGAAAAAGGCTTGGGTGATCTACTTCCAACACATAGGAGTCATTAGAGAAGTTATTGAGTGCTATCCTGCTCTCAAACACATGACATCACAACAAGTTGTCATGAATTCCACTGCAACGGGTTTGATTTGGTTTGGGTTGGGTTGGGTGGGCTACTGAAGAATACATTGAAACAGTGGCTGTGTCATTATGGGATACAATTTACATTCTGTGGTGCTGACAAATAACATTGGAAGTATCCTGAACCACCAGAAGAGCAAACAAATTTATCTTGGAAGAAGTACAGCCACATGCTCCTTAGAAGCAAGGATTGCGAGACTCAAAATCAGGGAAAAAATAACTGCAAATGTCCATTAGCAATAAGAACATGGACAGTACGAATGCGAATCTTGGAAAATGGAAGTCATCAACAGGAAATGGCACGCTTGCACCTGGATGTCCTAGGCATTGTTGTTGCTGTTGGTGAGGTGCCATCAAGTAGTTGACTCCTATTGACCCTGTGAACAACACAAT